GTTTCTCACGCCCAGGCCACAGAAAGCACAGGCAGACTTGAAGCTCAGTTTAGGCCGGGCCGCCTCTTCTTTCGTGTGGGAATAAGTTCAACCTGCTCTGCGTTTTGTTCATCTTAGGTCTTCTACACTCTGATTTGCCACTTTGTTGGGGGCTGGTTTGAGATAGGGTCTAGCTATGCAGTGCAGGCTGTCCTTAAACTCACTCTGGGCTCAAACTCATGGCAACTCTCCTGCGTCAGCCTTCTGCGTGCCAGGATCACAGGCGCGCACCCCACCTCCCCACCTCGATTCCCCCCTCTGGCTCCACTTTGAGTGGAGGTTGTACTGTGGATATTCCCACATGGAATCATGTCTTCCTGCAGTTCCAGAGCACATCCATTCCGAGAAAGCACTTGCCTGGCGTTTAGTGCTTTTAGCCTCCTCCTCATAGGAGTCACGGTGGTGCCCTCTGGATGGGAGACCAGATCCACCGGGGAGATTATACTTGGTTTTCGGCTCATCTCATACTTGCTGGAATTTTCTCAGGGTTACACTAAGGCCCGGTGGCTCCCACCTTTGCTCTGGTGCCTGTCTCAGTGACATGTGCGGTGTGATAGGATGACTTACGGAGTCTCCCCATGTGCTCCTGAGGAGGGCTAACAGCAAGGGACAAGAGTCTAGGCGGCCGAGTGCTTCTGCAGGACTCGTGGGTCTGTGGCTGCTGGAGAACGCCTGTGCCTCAGCCCTGGAGGTCCAGTGGAGGTCAGCACGCAGCCGGGTTGTGTGCCCAGGCCCCAGCGCTTGGTCACAGTGGTGGCCCAGAGAGAGGAAGCGTCGCCATGTGGGCTGTGTTCCTCCTCCCAGGAGCTAGGCACTTTGTTATTGCAGAAGCACCCCCTGATCTTGCTAACTAAAGCAATTACCGTCATTTAGCAGTCTTTTCATAAACCATTCTTTCCACCCCAAAACACTGCTTTTATTTGCCAAGTGCCACAATGTTGCATCTTGGCAACTGATCAGTTTTTACTGCCAAATTATGTAAGCCCCTCGATGGGCTCTTGCCCAGCCAGGCGAGCCCGGCTGTGGCCTGTTAGCATGGCAAGTGGCTCGGGCTGGGAAGCAGAGAACAGCTGGCCTGAAACTCATTAATTAATTCAGTGTTTACACTTTGATTGGGAAGGAAATTCACATTTGCTTAAGATACCAGTGCCCAGCTGAGAAATGTCCTCTCTGAAAATATTGGGTTGAGGTTTGTTGTCAAGGAAATGCAAATTGTGGGCATTTCATGAAATTCAAATATGTGGATTAATTTACCAACAGGGAGCTAAGACGGTAATAAACCAAGGTGGCCTTACTCAAAGACTGAAATGTAATTAGTGTTGACTCTAGCAGCAGCAGCTATTGAAGTGGACTATAAAACCCTAGGTCAGACTTTCATTAACAAATATTAAGAAGAAATATTTCCATCAAAAAAGTCAGTGTCAGCATAAGAAGAGATTAGGGGTGAGGAAAATAGCTGTGTGCGGTGAACACCACTCAGAAGCATCCGTGGGGTGAATTCGTTTGTGCAGAACGCCTTTGAGAAGACCTTTTAAAGGGCTGGGGCGTAGCTCAGAGATAGAGCGCCTGCCTGGCAGGGCTCACAAATGCAGATGTGCCTGGGGACCAGAGAAAGAAGCAGGCCCGTGCTGCCCGGGGACCGAGAGGTGGGCCCAGCGCGGCGGCGGCGGCCTTGTGGCCTCGGCTGGCTGCATTTCTTCCTGTGTGCTGGGAGTCCAACCCAGGGCCTCGTGTGTTTACTAAGCTTGTGGTTTCCACTCAGTACACCACCTCTGCGGTTTCTATTAGCACCCTTCCCAAGGTGGACAAGTTTAAAGGTCTAGAGCTGCAGATGTGGCTCAGCAACACAGTGCCTGCCTGGCGAGCTCTGGGTCCTGAGTTTGAGTCCCAGTGCCAAAAAATAAAAGGAAAGTTTATCCTCCCTTCAAAGTGCTACTCAAGTGACTGTAAAGGAACAAACAAGGTTTAAACCTGGAGTGGCTATGGTGACAACAGAGGGTGCTCTGCCCGCAGAGCTGCCAGTGGCCTGAGCAGGGTGGGCCGGAGAAGTCAGGGCTCCCACTCCTAGCCCTACCCAGGTCGGGCTGCAGCCCACAGTGCGAGGGGCCAGCACTAGGCACTGTAACCCAGCATGAATGTGAGGTTTCTTCAGGGAGATAATGTCCCCAGATACCGGACTCGAGGCTCTCCGGGGGATGCTTTCATCCCATAGGGCTCGAAGCTCAGAGGCCGACCAGCCTCTCAGTGGGCGCCTGAGTACCTTCAGCTTCACCTTCAGCGGTGTCCAGAGGGGGAGGGAGGGAGGGACAGAAAAAACCAGAAGCAAAACATGGTGTTTGAGGAAAGTTGCAGTTATCGTGTGTGTGTGTGAGCGAGAGAGAGAGAGAGAGAGAGAGAGAGAGAGAGACAGAGACAGAGATAGAGAGAGAGACTGTTTCCTATCTAAAGCCAGAGCATTTGTGAAATAGAAATGCATTAGAGAACAAGGGCCAGCCAAAAGCTCAGTGGATTAATGTGCCTGCAAGCAGGCACAGGGGCCGGGGCTTTGATCCCTGGGGCCTGCCCTGCCAGCCCCGACCCCTGGGCGTGCTGAGACTGTGATTGAGACTGGGTGTGGTGGTGTATGCCTGTAATCCCAGCACTTGGAAGGCTGTAAACAGGTGGATCACTATGAGTCCAATCTAGGAGTGAGAACCTGAACACGCTGTAGACCCTTCCCTAAAATACAGGAAAAAAAAAGCGCTATTGGAAATTACAAATTAAATGTTTGAAAAAGTATTAAGGCTCTATTTCTCGGAAAACAACAGACAGTCGGAGTTGGGAGTAAAGTGGACACTGGGTGCACTGCGTCTACCACGTGTAGAATTGGTCAGAAGGCAGAGCTGGGAACAGGATCTGGAAATGGGAGGACAGTCTCGGAAGAATAGCTGAAGCATGCAGTTGGCTTGTTCCGGCGCATGCGATTGGGATTAGAAAAGGGAAGCTACAGGTTGTAGGTTTCATTGTATCTTGTTTTGTTTTGATTACAAATTACATAAAAACATTAGTATAACTGAAAATGAAAGGAGACATAATGAAATCACTAGAATTGGTGGGGTGGCGCCACGTATCACAGAGGCCTGCAGCTCTGAGGTGTTCCCATTTGTGAGATGGGGAGTGATGTTGGTGGCTTTGCACCAGCAAAATGGACAGCACCCTGCTAGGAGCCCGAGTACGTCCCCAGGCCCCCCGACAAATCAGACGAAGTCAGGGCGTGCTGTCGCTGAACTGGTAGCTATTGATAGTTACTGTGCTGGCCTGTGTGACCCGGCCTCAGCTCCCCAGTAACTCTGAGGTGGCTTCTCCATGCTGGAGGTAGAGAGTGTGGCCTTAGTTGCCCGGAGTCAGCTGTGGTCTGGAAACATCAAATGGGGAGTCCGGAAGTAAGTTCCACGCTGTGCTTAGTAGCAGGGTGCACTTCCACCGCATGCTGCTGAGGGCTTGAGTCACTCGCTGCGTGCTGCGTAGCCACACTGTGTGCACTACCCGCCTGATGGCCGCTGAGCAGCTGTCTAATTGTCGGCTTGACCCTTGTGGTGTTGGAGTGCTTGTGGCAGCCATGACTGAAGTGCAAGAACAGTGATGCTGGCAGCGTTACACGCCAAAGAAGAGCTGGACTCATTCGGCTTGAAGTGTAAAAGTGAAAGTTCAGTAAGTTGTTTGGAGAGACCATTATCGCATAGCATTTGTTACAGGATAGTGCAATTGGTCCACCTTATTGCTACTGATACCTTCCTCTGCCTACTTTACAAATTAAGTTTTTATCATACGTGGTATGTATGTAGGGTTTGGTATCATCCACTGCAGGCATCTACTGATGGGTCTTGGAATATACCTCTGTGAATTAGAAGGTGGGGAACTCCTGTTTTTATTACAACTGTCATAAAAATCAAAGTAGAACTCAGTATATTAGAAAATGAAAAAAGCCAAATGATTACTAATTATAAGAATCAGCTCTTTAGAGAAGCACCAGTGAAAACACTAACATGATCTACTGGTATAATCCAGAAACACAGAAGAAAGCACACATAAAATTAAGTGTGGAGGTAGAGGAAAGAAAATGATTTATGTTTTGCAAAACTATGCAAGTAAATTTGGAATTATGAGTTGAATAAATGGTTTTCTTAGAAAATATGCTGTGAGCTTGACTCCTGAGGCTCTGAAGGGTCTTACAGGTGACAGAGGTGAGGCAGCGGCCATCTGTGACCCTCCCTACTGCAGGCTTTGGAGTGGAGCAGCGAGGGCTCCCTGCGCGGCGTGAACCCGAGGTGCTGGCGGGCGACGGAGCGCGGGAGGCCGTGCTTCTTGGCGCCAGGACTCCGCAAAGTAATGAGCCCTCACCTTCCTCTCATTTTGTTTAAGCGACGTTTTTCTGGTGACTGTGCCACTGTTCAGGAAGAATAAAAAGTTCAAAATTTTTTAAAAAATAATTTGTACTGTCATCATTAGCTTCACAAACAGCCGATCCCTTAGCGTTAAAATGTTTTCAAGATTATATGCAAACACTGGAAAGATTTCAAAGCAGGTTTGTGTGTAAAATACACTACAAGTGTGGTGACGAGGTCGAAAAAGGAAAACAGCGGACATCAGAACTCTTTAGCTCTTGAGTATTTCCATGGAAAAGTACCTTGTTCTCGGATGTTGGCAACCGGAACACCCTTGCTGGTTAAAAATAAATAGCATGAAGTGCGAGGAATCCAGGTGAAGGGAAACGCGGCCGCAGCAGCAGTGAGCCGGAAACGGGGTCTGGAGGCCGCTGGGGAGCTCCGGGCCGGCCGAGCTGGTGACTGGCGCGGCCTCTGCGGGTGGGTCGGGGAGCCGGCGGGTCAGGGCAGGGGCAGGAGAGGGCTGCCTTTGGCTCCCGAGTGCTTTGCTGTGAGGGGTCTAACTTAGTATCCTCTGTCCACCCACCTTCCCGGCAGCTGGGACCGTGCACCATGGAGCTGTACTTTGGTGAATACCGACACGTGCAGCAGGAGTACGGCGTCCACCTGCGCCTGGCCGGGGACGGCGCCAAGAAGCCACGGAGCTCGCCACACGCCAAGCCGGGCTCCTACGGCGTCAGCATCAGGGTCCAGGGCATCGACGGCCACCCCTACATCGTCCTCAACAACGCAGAGCACTGTCTGCCGGGGAACGGGCCCCCCTTCCCGGCTTCGGGGACGGGGGAGGGCAGCAGGGAGGGCACCCCGCCGCCCGCCCAGCCCGGCCCGCCCGGAGCCCCGAAGCAGCCCTCTCCGCACGAGGGCAGGAACGATGTCCTGGAGCGAAAAGACGCCCCGGGGAGGTCGTCCCGCCTGCTGAACTTCCAGCGGCACCCCGAGCTTTTGCAGCCCTACGACCCGGGCAAGAATGAGGCGAACGCGGAGGGTCACCGGGCTCCGGAGAGCGACTGGTTCGGCGGCGCAACAGAGGCGAGCGCCGACGCGAAGACCCAGCCCTGGCCCGGCTGCCCCACGCCTGGCAGCCCGCTGCCCGCCGGCGCCGGCCTGGGCTCCATCCGGCTGTGCAGCTCGGTGGTCATAGAGGACCCCAAGAAGCAGACCTCGGTGAGCGTCAACGTGCGCAGCTGCGCCAAGGAAGGGCCGGACGGCGCGGCCGCGAGCAGGAGGCCCCGCGCCGAGCTCGGCAGCGCCCGGCCCGACGTGCTGCCCTTCCGGCGGCAGGACTCGGCGGGCCCGGTGCTGGACGCGCCCGGGTCGCGGAGGTCCTCGTCGTCCTCCGCCACGCCCACCGCCGCCAACGCTCTGTACAGGTTTCTGCTGGACGACCAGGAGGGCGCCATCCACGCCGACAGCGTCAACCGGCACGAGAACAGGCGGTACATCCCCTTCCTGCCGGGCACCGGGCGGGACATCGACACGGGCTCCATCCCGGGTGTGGACCAGCTAATTGAAAAGTTTGACCAGAAGTCTGGGCTTCAGAGAAGAGGCAGGGCCGGGAGGCGGAACAGAATGCACCCGGACGACAGGAAGCGGTCCCGGAGCGTGGACAGCGCCTTTCCCTTCGGCCTGCAGGGCAGCGCCGAGTACCTGACGGAGGTCAGCAGGAACCGGGGCAAGTCCAGCGAGCGCCTCCTGCGCCCGTCGCGGCTGTGTCCCCAGAGGCTGCAGGGCGCGCGCGGCAAGGAGGGGAAGGACCCGGAAGGCAGAGCAAGTCAGGAAGGCGCCGCGGGGGTCGGCACCCCCTCGCTCCCCGCGCCGGCCAGGAAGGAGGAAGAGGTCAGAACAGCCACTGCTACGCTCATGCTGCAGAGCAATCGCGCGGCGGCAACCTCAGCGGATTCCGGGGCCAAGAAAATTTCCGTGAAGACCTCGCCTTCCAGCTCAAATGCTCAGGTAACTGTTAGTCGGCTTTTGTTTTTTTCTCCCAATGGACTCACGATGTGCTAATGCTACAAGTGGCCTAGGAACACATCTTCAATCTCGAGTCAGTAACTGCACATCAGGACTTTTGTTAAGGGTCAGGGTGTGACCTCCTGACTGTAGACTTCTGGGTTACTTCCAGAACCACTGGCTTCCATCGTGGTCTTTCTGTAATTTGTCAAACACTGTATGTGTGAAGCCTGCAAGTGTGCAGAATCGGATTCTGCTGGAGGTTCAGGGCTCGGGTTCCTGCAGATGTTTTTATCTGTGACACTGGATGACTAGGTTAATTCTAGCCTGAGAAATTAGGTTAATCCTAAACTCGTGTATTCATAAAATGGTGGATTCTAAGTGGTACCTGTAGTGTCTTGGGAGCAACAGCAAAAAGTAATGGCGCTGCTATAAGGAGGCCAGGGGCAGGCGCTGTGTGTTGTTCTAGAGTCCAGGCGGGCACCAGTAACCTTAACTGAAGTGGGTAAGTTGGTGAAGAGGTAAAGGAACGCGCTCAAGGGTCCAGAGCCAGCACAGAGCTGCGGTGAGGGTTTCTCCAGGGACCGCTTTCTGGGAAGTAGGCACTTGTAGGTTGCATCTGCCCGGATATGTCATCTTCCTGGTCTAATGAGAGACCCAATTATCTTGTAGGTGACCCCGGATCTCTTAAAGGGCCAGCAAGAGCTCAGCCAACAAGCCAATGAGGAGACAGCCAAGCAGATACTTTACAATTACCTCAAAGAAGGGTGAGGACTTCTCCCTAGGGAGCAAAGCATTGTCCTTTGGCGGGGCTGTGGGCAGGACTCTTGGTTTCCCACTCTGGGGCTTTGGGGCTTACTCACCTGTCCTGGGCTGAGTTGAAGCTCATGCCTGCATTTATTATTTTATTTTACTTTTTAAAATCTAGTGCAGGGTCCACAGGGTCTCACTATGTAGATCAGATTCATAGTGAGCCTCCTGTGTTCAGCCTCCCAAGTGCTGGGGTTTCAGGCATGCGCCACCATGCCCAATCTTAGCTGCTGGCTCAGCTTGGGGGTGGGGCCAGCATGGCACCCCAGGGACTGAACTCTGGTGCCTGAGTCTGCCTAAGCTGGCACTTTAATCTGCTGAGCTATGTGCACCGGCCCTCATCCCAGAATTTAAATCTTGAGTGAATAGGGTAGGGACCCGGGTAGGGGAGCAGAAGGAGTGGCATCGTATTTCCAACAGGAATACTGTTTTTTTTTTTTTTTTTTTTTTTTGTTTGTTTTTTGTTTTCCTTGAGCTAGGGTTTGGCTATGTAGTCCAGGCCAGCCTTGAACTCACTATGTAGGCCAGACTGGCCTTGCATTATTGGTCCTGGAGCTCCTCCTGCCTCAGCCTCCCAAATGCGGGGATTACAGGCCTGTGCCACTGCGCCCTATGAATACAGTCTTTTTAAAATGACCTTTGAGTGCTCAGTGCAAGCTCAAGGGTAGGAGACTGTCTCCTGTCCAGTGTTGAGCCAGGTGGGTGCCACCCTGAACTCTTCCACACTGATGGTGGCCCTGGGCACCCTGTCAAGAGGTCATAGAGGGACAGCTTCCCTTGCCCGCAGTGAGCGTGGGCTAGCAGCCCGCTCAGTTACCTTACACGCAGGCGCATGGAATCCTTTAGAAGCTATATTCTTCGTGCTTGTTGCTGATTGGATCAAGTAGGCTTTCAGTCTGTGCTCAGATACCGGGCTGGATGCAAGCAGGGGCTGCAGCTCCGGTTGTGGTTTCTCTCATCCAGCGCTGGGCAGGGAGAAGGTCTTGGCTGCTGTGAGAGAGAGCGGCTTCTCCCCAGTGTGCACGGGCTCTGGAGCGCTCGCAGCTTTGTGCTGTGTCTGGCAGTTGCTCGTCTGCATCCCAGAGATGGCGAGCGCGTCAGGCTCAGAATGTAACACGGGGCTCTGGGTTACAACAGAAAAAATAAAAATAGGGAGATTCTTTTAGCCAAGAACTAATTGTGTTAGTCTTTCCCTGTGAAGGGTTCTACCATGTTAAAATTAAAGTAAAAGAGCTTTTGATTTTTAAAATTCTTTAAATTTTTCCTTCCTTTCCTCCTCCCTCCCTCCCACCTTCCCTTTTCTCCTTCCTTCCTTCCTTCCCTCCTTCCCTGCCTCCCTCCTTCCCATCTTCCTTCCCTCTTTCCCTCCCTCCCTTCCTTTCCTCCTTTCTTTCCTTCCTTCTTTCCTCCCTCCCTCCATCCCTCCCTCTGTCCCTTCCTTTTTTCTTTCCCTCCCTCCCTCTTTCCCTGCTTCCACCTCTGAGATACTGGTGAGACCAACTACAGTTTTTAAGGACTTTTCTTTGAATCTTTTAATTGCCAGGGTGTGGTGAAGTTAACAAAACTTGATCAGGCAGCTGTAGGTGGAGTAGAGACAAAGGGCCAGTGTGGCTGTCTTGGCTTAGGGGGATTTTGATTTTTGTTTTTGGCAGAACCGGGGATTGAACTCAGGCCCTTGAGCTTGCCAGGGAAGTGCTTATTCTACTGAGCCATCTCCCCAGCCCATGATTTTTTCCTTTTAAACATAGGCTGAACAAGTTCAGGTCTCTGCAGCTTGCTGCACTGTAGGACTTAAAGGTGCAGCGTGTGTGTATGACAAGTAGCAAAGAAAATAATTCCTTTCAGAATGAATACAAGTTATTTGAATGAAACAATAAATGACTACATTTTAATTAAATGTTTTTTCTGAGTTTATTTAGAATGTGCTTATGTCTTGCTCACATATCTGGGAATGGGCATTCCTGTCCCAAACTGATAGCAACATGGAACAATTTCTTTGAAGAAAAACACACGTGGTTCTGCGCGGCTAACACTGATTTGATCTGCAGCTTGGACCCAGCCCCTTTGGGTAGCTGTGGGTCCTCCCGGACAAGACCTGGGGCCACGCCCCTCATCTTTTCCCTGCTGTCTCTTTTTCTAGAAGCTCTGACAATGAGGATGCCACTAAAAGGAAAGTCAACTTGGTTTTCGAGAAAATCCAGACCCTGAAGTCGCGAGCAGCGGGGGATGCCCAGGAAAGTGTGCAGGTGCGCTGGAGCTGTGCTGGCAGAGTGTCCTGTGGTGCGCTGGAGCTGTGCTGGCAGAGAGTCCTGTGGTGTGCTGGAGCTGTGCAGGCAGAGAGTCCTGTGGTGTGCTGGAGCTGTGCAGGCAGAGTGTCCTGTGGTGCGCTGGAGCTGTGCAGGCAGAGAGTCCTGTGGTGCGCTGGAGCTGTGCTGCAGAGTGTCCTGTGGTG